TTTGGCCGCTCCCGCCCGCAGCCGGGGGCGCTGCAGGCAGCAGCTGCCAGCTGTGCTGGGTGTGCGCTCGCGGGGCCGGCCGCGCGAGTGCGCCCCGTCCCGCCGACCCGCTCCCCCCCACCCCCGCCGCGGCCGACCGACCTGCCCCCAACCCAGCGCCGTCGCGTATGCACTGCGACGGGACGCGGTGCTCGAGGAATCTATCAGCATGCAGGTGTGTGCGAGCTCGACGTGAGTTTGCGGGGCGTGGCAGGCGCAACGGCCGGACTGCTGACCTGCTGTGGTGTGTGAAGAATCGGCGGCGCTGGGATGCTGCTGCTGGAAGCGCAGGGTGACTCCCCATCCTGTGACCTTGCCACCAATACGCGGCAGGCCTTTTCCGACAACCCCCCCCTCTCTTGCCCCCTGCAGGCTCTCCACTGGTGCAACTTTGACAGCCCCGACCAAGCCGGCGGCAGCTGCCGCAGCGGCACCTGGCTCGGCGCGGCGCTCGCGCGGCTCGCGGCGTCCAACAACCGCCCCGGCGGCGACGGCCTGCCGCCCGAGCGGTGCCTGCCCTACGACCCGCTCGCGGGGCCCGCCGGCGGCGCGCGCGCCGCGTGCGTGCCGCGGGGTGGCGGGCAGGGCTGCGGCGGCCGGCGGCCGGCGTACTCAGATGGCAGCTTCGCTTTCTTTGATCTGTTGGAGCAGTGGGTGAGGAGGCGAGTCTGACTCGCACTGGATTGCAAATCGCCCGCGAGCGCTCGCATTCTTAGGCAAATCCGGCGCAGCAAGTGAATGCAGTCTTCACAGCTCCTACGGCGCTGCCCCTTGAGCGTGCTGATTGCTGCCCTCCACCGCCGCTCCACGCCGACCCCCTCTCCCCCGCCCTGCCGCCCCCCTCGCAACCATGACGCTGTGATGGCGCCGTGTGGCCCCTTGCCTCAGGAGGTGCAGCGCCACCTGCGCAACCACGGCGGCGTCATCACGCGGGTAGACCTGACCCCGGAGTTCACGGCCTTCTTCAACGCCACACCGCGCGGCGTGCTGGCCGACGCGCCGCCGGCGCGCGGCAAGGTGGAGCAGCACGCCGTGGTGATCGTGGGCTACGACAATGGCGAGGGCTGGTGGCGCGTGCGCAACAGCTGGGGCGTGGACTGGGGCGACGGCGGCTATTTCAGGGTGCGCTGGGGGGCCCGCGCTGCCGCTGGCGGCGCTGGGATTGGGGGTTGGGCGGCGGGGGGCGCTGCCTCTTCGTCTCCCCAGCGCCCGTCCGTCCGCCCGCGGGCTGCTGAGGTGCGCCCACGCCCATGGCCCCAGCGCCGGGCGGTCGCCTGCTCTCGCTCGACTCAATACGTGCCAGTCATGGGTACAGATGTAGATACTGAATTCATGGCCAACGGGGAAATTCCTCATTTGAGGGTTTGGCAAACTTCTCCACGCTGCTGCAGATCGGCTATTCCGCTGCCTTCAACCTGGGGATGCTGTCGCCTGGTGACACCTTTGGCCTCACCTGGACGCCTAAGCAGCAGCCGCCGGCGCCGCGGCTGGAGAGGCACGAGGCCTGGGGCGGCTGCGGCTGGTACACTGCGCGCCTCGCGGGCGAGTGGCTGGCGGATGTTGGCTACGAGTTCAAGGCGAGCCCGGGGGCGCAGACCTCCGCCATTGATGTTTTAGGAAGTCCTCGTGCTGCCATTGGCTGGTGGAATACCCCGCGCGCTGTGCACAAGAGCTGCTCACGCCATTGACATGCGGAGCCGGTGCAACAACGAAGCTTGCCGCCCCACGAGTCATGTGTCGCCGACTCACTGTCACTGCAGGGACAGCTTTCCACCCCCATCGAAATTGCCTTGCCGGTCTGCCATGGCTTTCAATTTTCAAATCGACAGGTGGAGGACATGTTGGGCTTCACCGCCAACTTCACACGCATGTACCCCGCCGCAGACCCGCAGGCGCCCCTGAGGGGGCGGCGGGTGCTTGTCTGCGGCGCGCAGGCTGAGCCGGGTGCGCTCCGCGGCCTTGGGGGGAACGGGCCGCCAATCACCTTGCTCGCAGCAGGTTGCAGCAGCCATCAAAACGCGGTTGCAGCTAGGACAGAGCGCTGCAGCCGCCGCACCCGTCCACATACTCTGCTCCCACGCCCCGCAGGCGACGCCCGGCAGCCGACTGGCCGCGCCCGCGCGGTCGTCGGCGCCCCGGCCGGCCCGTTTGGCACGACCCCCGAGATCGCGTCCACCAGGGCAGACCACGTGACGACCGCGATCTACGACGGCCGGGCCGCTTTTCTGAAGTACGGCCCGCCGACGTCGATATGCGCCTGGACGGGCGGCTGGTGGAGCCCCGTCATCTCTGTGCAGTACGGGAACGCGACCAGCCAGCTGTGAGCGCAGGGGCGCACTCCATTTTTCTCCCGCCTGGCCGCCGGAGCAGGGCCGAACGGCGGGGCCCCTCTGCAGTCGAAGCGCCCCGCCTGAATCACGGGCCAGGCGCGGCGCCCCGCAGTTCTCACGGCCGTGTGTTGCAGCAGTCCGCTTTGTGACTGCCAGTCCTCCGCATGCCCCAAGCGCACCTTGCACAACCCTCCCTCAAGCCCCTGACGGCCAGCCGCCCGCCCCCCCCCATCCCCAAAGGTATGGTATATACCTAATCGAGCCCCTGGTCCGGGAGTGTATCAACCTCCAGCCAACAGAGCGCATAACAAAGATGGTCGTGCGCTCAGGCTGGTGGATCGACTCGCTCACATTCTGGACGAACCTCCGCGACGGCCCCACGCGCATCGGCGGCAGTGTCCGCGGCGGCGCGGGCGCGCACGAAGTGGCCCCGCCGCCGGGCGCGTCGCACGTCGCGGCGTTCACTTTCTACATAGGCGGCAACCGGGCGGCGGGGCCGAAGGACGATAAGGTCATGGGATTGCAGGTGCACTGGGGCGATGACGGCGACGATGACGTCAGCTTCGTCGCCCCCGGCAGCAGCAGCAGTAGCAGCAGCAGCAGCAGCAGCAGCAGCAGCAGCAGCAGCAGCAGCAGCAGCAGCAGCAGCAGCAGCGGCAGCGGCAGCGGCAGCCGCAGTGGCAGCAGCAGCAGCGGCAGCGGCAGCGGCGGCGGCAGCGGCGGCGGCGGCAACGCGTCGTGGGTGTCTTGCAGGAAGGGCCCCGGCCACAAGGTGGACGAGGTGCAGAACACACTGGGCCCCAGCCGCTGCGCCGGCCCCTGCGAGTGCGACGGCGACCGCGCGTGCTCTGAGTTTGGCTGGTGCACAGGCGCGGGCGCGCCCACGGCAGGGAGCGGCCTGCGTGGCGGCGG